TCGTCTCTGAGTGGTTGTTGGTGATTAAGAACGAGACACAACTGTATATATGTACAGAAACGAGCTCCATTTCACTTATTTCACTTGTATTTTTGTATATTCGAATACAGTAGACCTTTAAGTAGTACACTGTAAGTAATAAATATTTTTACAGGCTGCCAGGAGTGTACGGCAGAGAGGTATGATTTGGCGACAATTCGCGCACGCGCATTGAGACTCAAAACGAAGGTTTGGCTTACAATAAGCGCTGCGGGAGCGCTTGCTGATCTTGATTAACTTCCGACAATCGAACTATTACTTAAAATTAAGAAGATCAAAAGAGATCTTCTTGATTTGATTTTTTCTTCGTCTTCTCGAAACTGTCAACATGCGATTTGATCGTATCTACTACATATGGTGCGTATTTAAACTCCGAACTAAAAAAAAGTGCACGCGCGGCACCTTAGGATTGCCGACCCCCATTCTTTGTCCTCCCAAATTAGTAATAGTACAGTCACACACACAAACTCTCATTAGCCGAACTTGAAATGATTACAGTAAAATGAATCTTCGTTGTGTCGTTCAATTGTAATTCGTAAGCCATCACATTTCAATGTTTTCATCTCAAGACGCCTCCCCCAAAGCACAAATTTAATGTATCTCTAACTTCTCTAGCATCTAGTCTAAAATGCCTCGCAGAAGAACCCTCGTAAACGCTCGTCGAAGTGTGCAAGAAGTGCAAGAAGTGCAAGAAGTGCAAGAAGTGCAAGAAGTGCAAGAAGAACAAGAACAAGAACCCGCAATGAAAGTGGCAGAAAAAGGAAGAATTTCAAATAAATCACACCACACACCCCTCACCATCAACACCAGCCCTCATCTCCACCATCCCCCACCGATGCTGATAAATAGCCAACACAATAAACGCATGCCAAATCGCATGCGAGCCACCACCAAGCCAGTCTGTCCAGTGGGCAATCCCCTTGCTATACACGAACCGTTCTGGCACGTGCGTGACATAGAAGACAAGACCGATGATGTAGGAAAGGAACGACGGGGCGATGGGCCGGATGAAGGAAACCATCGATGAAAAACTGTACATGTAGGTCAGGTGGGCCATAGGCGCAAGCGCTGTAAACGCCATCCCGAGGAAGAACACAACGCGCACGGGCTAAGAAGACATTCTAAGTATTTACTTTCCGAACAGAATCAAAGTAGCACGGAATAAGCTGACCTTGTACTTCCGGTCGTTGAACCACGCCATGAACGGGAACACGCTGCCTAAAATACCAGTCACCAGGCATAGCGATAGGTAGGCCATTACAATCTCCGAATGACATGAAAACCCGTAATAAACAACAGTGCCGACACTAGCACTGATTAGCCTGTACAAGCGAAGTGAACAATTATACGCCATGAAGAATCATTAGAATACTGACCATCCGATGCCGACATAGTCAACCCTACAAGTAATGTAAACATACACAAAGTCTTACAAGATCGGCCAACATACCTAGCACAAAGCTCCATACCTACGCGATGCGCGCAGCCCGACATGGTGTGCCAAACCACGCTTAGGAGCAGACAGAGCATGGCGAAGCCTGTATAGAATTTCTCTGGTCGGTCCAAGGGAACGGATGCATAGTTTAGAGACGGAATAAAATGCAATGCCGTGTGCAGAAGTGGTATCATATGCGTATGGATATTAACTGCAGAAAGTCATATTAAATACGTCATCGCCGATATCTCGAGCTAACTCACGAGTCTCGTTGTGTAAAGCAAATAACGAAAGGAGGATAATTGGCCATTTATGAAGAGGAATAAAACTGTAAAACGTAACAAAAACAATTAGAATATATATCCCTGACGTGGATATTCACGACTACATACCGATAGCCGCTGTCAACCCAAGGATTGTTCCTCCATTCTTTTGGTAAATCGACATATGACACAAGACGAGCACCATTATAAGACTTCTTAAGAGCCTCGGAATACTCTCGAGCTACCCTTTCGAAAGGACTATCATGACCATCAACACGATGAAGGACAGCCGGAACCATATCCGAAGACAACACTCTGTCCAACAACTCCGATAAAGTGCTAGTTGGGGGAAGTGAAGGAAGCACGTAATCGGAGCGAGCGCTCACGGCGGCCAAGTGAGCCTGTAACGAGTTCAAGTGCTGCGAGAGAACAGGCAAGTAACTCATTGGTTGACTCATATCAAGCGACATTTCGTACAGATGCGCTCGCACATCATGCAGTTTTGTCTGGACATCCGAGAGTGTAAAGTCCGGCATATGCGGACGCGGGAGATCCGGTAGGTGCGCACGAATATCGTCCAGGAGCACTTGATAGGAGAGGTCATGAAAATGGGTATGTAGTAGCTCTTCGAGTGCGGGTACATCGAACGGCAGGTCAGGAAGATGAGAGGAGACGTCGGAACGGATGCGTCGGAGCATCTCAAGAGTATCATGCGCCCAACTATGTGTTTCCCCTGTTACTAGCTGTTCTCCACTATTATCTAACGTTTCATTTTCCGAGTCCTCTAACGACAGGGTAATCGAGACAAGTCGTCGTTCGAGCTCGGCAAGGTGTGATAACACAAGTACGCGGACTGAAGCAAGGACAGGAGCGTGCGATGCCATTGAAAGGCTTGAAGTCGTTAATGAAGAAGATAGCGGATTGCATGAAGTCGATGCCGAACGAGGTCTTTGTTGTGTCGACTGGCGGTGCTTAGTAACTTCCACCCGGCGATGCAAGACATGTGCCTCCGTCTGGACGTGCACCACCTCTGAGACAGTGGTGTTCGACATCGCAAGTACAGACGTAAGGGTAGGTATTATCGTGGATAAAAGCTAGCTGGGAAGGAAATGTAAGCGTTGATATGATGTTACACGTGCACATGTCATGCAGGGGGATTGCACGCACGTTTACTACTACAAAACCCCTCTCTTATCGTGTGGAGCCAATGGAGATCGGCTTGTGGATAGCACCGCTCGCTGCGGAACTTAATGAGGAAAAGGTCCTGTAAAAATGCCAAACATGAATGGAATTATTGAATTGGTATTGTTGTTGGAGAAGAATGGAGGATGCGGACCTAAAGCAAAGTAAAACGAGTGGACTGTGGATGGCTCGGAGATCTGCTTCCGACGCAAATCTGAAAAGCACTCTTCCTGGCCAATTCTGCACATCAAGAGGCCTTCAAAAGGCCGAATATAAGGTACAGAGCAAAGTAAAGGAACGTTTTCGGATTTTACTTTGTGGGTGGGGAGCGGAAAACCTGGAGACTGACGTTCAGAATGGAACACTCGTCATCGCCTGAGGTGATATGGTCCAATTGGGAGTTGCAGTCCAGGTCACATGACTTTTCTTGCCGTCCTCGTTAGAACAGACAACAACTCGTTTTCCTTCATAACTTCACCTCGTTGTGGGTAGGCGCGTCAAGTCCGCGTCCGTTGAAGTACGAGTCGAGTTGAAGGCGGGAGGACAGCCTTCGCGACTGTGTCAGCACGAACAGTACAACGTGACCGCGGTCCCCTTGTGTACGCACTTCAGTCCAGAAATAGATCGTATTTCTTTTTATCTTTTTATTGCATAACTATCAGGTGAGTTCTGCCCTATTGCAAAGGAAAGGCAAGTGTTTTGATGTTTTGGCTTCGTAGCCCAGTTATTGCCGTGAATGCAGCGCATTCTACTAGTTGGAATCGGCAACATTACTCTTCCAAGGACACGGCATAGGTATTTTTAAAGCGTAATCTACATGGTCCATCCACGTGTTGAAACAAATCAGTGTAGGACATGTTATACTTGACTCAATTGCAGAGAGGCTTGGCTATAACTTACCCCTCAACGAGCAATTAGATGGATACCTTGGGGACGGCGTAACGAACATTAATAATAAGCCGACTCGTCTAGCCTTGTTCAAACCCAGTAAGTCATCACCTTTTACTTTACCCAATGTCTAGGGAGTTTAAGGAGCGCGTCTTAATAATGTTGTATTAAGGACCTGCAATGAATGTCCTGGGAAACGCCATTGGGAAAGCCTGTCGGGCGACTGTGCAGGATCCCAGATCGGTGATAGTCATCCAGGACACCATGTATCTCGAGCCTGGGCGCATGAAAGTAAAATACGGCGGACAGCCGGAGGGGCACCGAGGAATTCGGAGCGTCAGCAAATTCCTACACACCCAAGATTTCTTCAGACTTCAAGTGGGCATCGGCCGAACCGGCGACGCGAAGGAATACGTTCTGGGTCCACTCAGCTCGTATGAGAAAATGAACTACTCGGTGGATGGTAAGGGCATCGACGAGGCTTGGGCATGCATTGAAGATATTGCGAAGCGGATGGAGAAGCTACGAGGAATTTAGGGGATTTGATTTTATTCTCAACCGCGGAGCGCTGGGGAGCAGGACCAGAAGTGGCTGGCCCTGAGGTAGAGGCGTATTGTCTTCGATCTGGAGTGTTAATTACTGAAGCGGGACCGCCACAAACGGACCGCATTTGCCAGCGTCAGCGGGACGCGCTCGCGCTTCCTACGCTGCCGGGGTCATGTGAGTCGTTCTTAGCTCCTCTCATCACCTTCTCAACACTTATCGCATGTCCTATTTTTACACACACCCTCCTTATCCCAGCCTCTCCGCTGACGCACTACGCTTACAATTAAATCACTCATCACCGTATATATACCATACAGCATGTATTGCTTGCGCTTCGAATTCCATTTCGTATCACGCGAACATAGCAATCCACTGTTTTCTTCGCAGATCACTCTTCTTTGCTTCCTGGGGCCGCATGCTACACAAGCCCGTCATATCCGGCCTGGCCTGACTTTCGACTGGAAAAATAATGAGGATTCAAATTACGTCGACGCTCGTCAGCGTCTATAGGAAATACATAAAGCACGGCTTTGAGGGAAGCTCATGCCAGCAACACGGCGCTATCAAGCAATATGGGGCGCTTAGTGGCTCTGCTGTCTGTGTGCTTGACTCTGATCTGTCTGTCTTCTGTCTATGCTCAGCCATCTCCTAAGGTCCAACAAAGAATCTCTGCTGCAATCAAGGCTGCAGCGAACTCGACGAACATCGACTATACGGCTTTTGTAAACCCGTTCATTGGTACAGGTGAAGAAATTTCTGGTCTTGACTTTTCTGTTTGACTTTGAGTTCTAAATGAGTATTACCAAGATAATGATGGAGATGTTTGGTGAGCAATTTGTTGTTCTGTATGATGCACTGTTATTGATCTGGTTCAGCCCTGGAGCGTCTGTTCCTTTCGGCATGGTGCGTATGCAAGCATTACGGCTATGCATTATATTGAGTCCCGGTCATATTATAATTAGGCCAAATTCTCGACAGACTTGACCGGATACGCTCCAGCAGGTTAGCAGCATATCAACTACATATGCTGCACGGATTAACCAGAGATTAGGATATATCGTGGATCCAACTCAGAAAATCCGTGGGCTGAGTCCACTACATGACAGTGGAACAGGATCATCATTGGGTAAGTAATACTATTTACCTCTTGAATGACGGCTAAACCAGTTAACTATTGTAGGATCGTATGGTAACTTCGAGATCATGCCACTGTTATGTCCTAGAGGCTTCCACACCTGCACCACACTACTCACTGCCCGTGAACGGTTCCGGAAGAATAATACTGACGGTCCGTATCTGGGTCCTTTCATACTTTTCTTTGTACTTCACGTCATAACCACTATCGCTCGTACTGATTCGAACTATCTCCGCACTTCCTCCGACGCATCGCGCTATTAAATTTCCTGCAATGATAACGACCGCAACACGAAAAATTTACTTTAAAAAATAGATGCTTCTCCCGGATACTTCGCCCAAACACTCGATAACAATATCAAGATGGAAGCCACGTCAACCCGTCGCGCCGGCCTAGAACGCTTCACCTTCCCAAAAGGCAGCAAACCATACTTCGCACTCGACCTCGCAAATGACTTGCCTGCGAGCTTTGCGGGCGGTACGATGGATTTGGATCCTGAGAAAGGTCGTGTGACCATTGGTGGATTTTGGGGATCAAGGTGAATATGTTATTTTTTTTTCCTTTCTAAAATTAGGAGGAGTGTGTTTGGCTGGTTGACTGATAGGGATTACTTCGATAGTTTCGGACCACCTTCGTTTCATTATCAGGCTTTTGCGTGTTATGATCTTCTGAGTAATGCTAATGGGACGCAGAAGTTGGATGAATATGGCATGTGGACTGGTGACACGTACGATTTCTCCTATTGTAATTCACCGCCGATTATTAATATGAACGTATTCCGTTTTCTTGCATAGGTTCGGGCTCGACCAAAAAGCTCTCGGGGTGACGCACCTCAACCTTTCTATCGACCTAATCGGCGGAGCACCTTACCAATCCGGCGCACTATTCTCCTTCGCGAACAACACGCAAGACCCAATCATAATCCGAGTCGGAGTTTCGTTCGTCTCTGCAGACCAGGCATGTGCAAATGCCGAGTCTGAAGTCGGTGATGCGAGCTTTGAGGAGATCGTTTCGAGGTCGAAGGCACTTTGGCAGGATAAGCTGAGGAGGATTGAGATTGATGTTGCGAATACGCCACCGAATGTGACGGAGATGTTGTATTCGTCGCTTTATAGGTCGTTTTTGACACCGGTGCGTCCCTTCCGTCTGGGTATTTCATTATGAGTTGTCTAATGCATGAGTTTATGAAGAATAATGCCACGGGAGAAACGCAGGGACCGTTTGCTAATACGACCTCACCGTACTTCGATTCTCTTTATTGCAGGTATGTTCTATGTTGTCTATCACCATGACTTCGTGACTAAATGTTCTTACAGTTGGGATACGGTGAGTAACCTGTAGCCATCAAAACGGAAAGAAACTGACATCTACGCTAGTTCCGCACATTCTATCCATTAATGGCTCTGCATTCACCCGCCGACTTTGCCGAGATTGTCGAGAACTACATCGATGGATGGAGGAAAACGGGCTGGATGCCAGAATGCAGGTCGAACAATGTTCCAGGGTACACTCAAGGAGGTCTGTCCTCCCTTCAAAACTTGTTCTCTATTCTATTGTCTGTTCTCATTATGATTCGGTATCTCTACGCAGGCTCGGATGGCGACAACATCGTATCGCACTTCGCGATTACTTATCATAATGAAGCGGCACAGCTTGGTGTTGACATTAACGAGTTGTACTCGGCGTTGAAGACGGATGCGGAGGTAAATCCTCCAGAGTGGAACATACATGGTCGACAGGTCAATGTTTACAAGTGCGTTTTGCTCATTGCTCAGACCCTTTTCACAAGTATAATATTGACTTTGTGAAGGCAATACGGATACGTTCCGTATGCCGTGTTCGACCCTGCCAGTACTGGTCGGCAAACTCGTGAGGGCAGTCGAACTCTAGAAGTAAGGGAGAACATCTATTCGTTCTGATTTGTCTGCTAATTACATTACGACAGTATGCATTCAACGACTTCGGTGTACGACAGGTCGCTCTGCTACTCGGCAACAAAGCCGATGTCGAAACATACACCAACCGTTCTCTCGTGCGCCCGTCTTTGCTCTTCTATCCCTAACTGTTCTTTATCCACTTACGCACGCCCTCCCTTGTCATAAATATAGTTCTACCGAAATGTATGGGATCCAAACGTCCGAAGCGACGGCTTCAAAGGTTTCATGGAGAAACGGTTCCCCAACGGTACCTTCGTCGAACTTAACCCGATCGATTGTTCTCCGCAGGACAACACCAGCCGGCCGTGTTCGTTAACGGCGGATAACGAGAATGGTTTTTATGAGTCTTCGTCGTGGGAGTATTCGTTCTTCGTTCCACATGATACGGCGCATTTGATTGAGCTTATGGGAGGGAATGTGCGTTTTTATTTCGTCCTTCTATTTCGCAGGGGCTAACGGAATGGATTTTGTTCATAGGCTACGTTCGTGAAACGCCTCGACCACTTCTTCAGCGTAAGTCCGCACAGCGCCCATTACTTACATGTTTTCCTTACTCTCTTTTTCAGGCGGGTTACTTCGCAGCCGGGAACGAGCCATCCTTCCAGGTATACCTCACTCCTATCCTGAAATTTCTTCTTACTTACGATATGCCTCTGCCCGTTTAGACGCCTATTGGTTATCACTACGCTAATCAACCAGCCAAATCCGTCGACCAAGTCCGCAACGTAGTGTTCTCCAACTTCGACATCAGTGCGTTCCTTACCCTCTCCACCTTGCTTTCATTTTTTTTTCCTCGGTGAATGACTTACTGACTATGCTGATGTTTATCCTATGTAGCACCTGCTGGTTTACCTGGGAACGATGACCAAGCCGCCATGGCGACGCTTCTCATCTTCCACCTTCTCGGTTTGTACCCAGGTACGCTCCTCCTCCCAAACAAAGCTCCCTTAACATTCTCATTCTGACGCCTCTTGTACTGCACACACAACAGTCCCAAGCACATCCCAACTCCTAATCCTCTCCCCCTTCACACCAAAATACACAATCCACAACACATACCTCAACACCTCCACCACAGTCACAGTACACAACTTCTCCCCTCACTCCATCCAACACACCATCCCCAAGGGTGTCCCCGCATACGTCTCCAACGTCACTGTAAACGGTAAACCGACGGAATCGAGATGTCATTTTGATTTTTATGATACGTTTAGGTTGGGAGGGGAGATTGAGATTATGTTGAGTGCTGATAGGGATGGAGTGGATAGTTGTGCGGGGAGGTTGCCGGAGTCGATTTCGACGGGTGGGTTTGCTAGTGTTAGGTAAGATGAGATGGGCAGTACTGGTTGGTGGTGAGGAGACGAATGAGTGCTATATGTATGTGTTGAACGAAAGAGCGTGGACAATAGGGATAATTAGCAATTCCTTCCTTTTCTTGTATTAAATATGGACGAAATGAGTTATATCTCGAACTCTGAGCCTTTATTTAAGGAAGTGTAATTCGAATGAAGACAACACATTGCAGAGCTAATTAAACACCTATCTACATGACAAAGCAGACAAATAACAAATGACCTAACAAATATGAACAATATCTCCTCATTCCCCCTCCTTAGAACTGTACAACAGCACACTATTTCACAGTTCATTTTTCTTTTCCCACTTTTTTCACCCCATTAACGTCAACTCCAGTACACTCACAAGCCCAGGGAAAATGTTGAAAGACATGAGATATATATAGATGCATTGCAGGAATTGGGTTGCGCCCGAGTTATAAATGAATTGGATCCCTGGTGAATAAATGAATTGAGTTGGATGTTTGTGGTATTCCAAAGCGAGAGAGAGAGACAGAAGACAGTATGCATGGTTGTGAAAAGCAAATTCAGCCAAGTCCGCGAGACGTCGACGCCTACCCTCTCGAACGCGAAGTAATGATGATAAGCCCCGGTCTAATCTTGAAGTTGAACCGCGTACTACCGAACCAAACGTCAATAACTCACTCGCATCCAAAAAAAAGACCACAAACGCAAAAGAAAGAAAAAAGGAAAGAGAAAAAACGTACTTCTCCAAATCCTCCATCAAATGAAACGTTGAGTCCTTCCCAGACCGTAACTCATCATCATCATGTCGAACAAGTACGTTCAACCTCCTTTGATGTTTCTTCTCTACAAGCTTCCACGCTTCTTGGATACGGGAATTTGCGGTTTCGCGATCGAGGTCGCGGACGTCTACTGTTGAGTCGTCTAAAGAAATTAATCAATAAGGACAAAAATATTAGTTATTAGTTATTTAGGGGAAAATCTCTAATGGTCATGGAAAGTTCGGGTTAATGTATAGTGTACTTACCGAAAGACTCAGAGATATACCCCGGAGGCCCAGGTACCTCACCAACCGGCATCGACGGTTGCATCTCCGAGGAAGGGGGTGGTAATACTTCCCATCCTTCCTGTTCCTCATGATGAAGAGGCAGTTGAGGTCTCGGACCCGCAGGTGACCTTGACCTCGACCTCGATCCTGACCGCCTCGAGGCAGATCCCTCCCGCGGAGCCCATAACCGCGCAGACTCCGGTGACTCCTCTAGATACTCGACAGGATTCTGCTGAGGTTGAGTAGAATCGTGTGGGGCGATAGGAACGTTGAGGATCCTTGAGAGTCGTGAGGGTCCTCCATTCGCATGATCATGTTCTGCATTTTCGTTGGGAACCCTTTGATACTCTTGACCTTGAGGTGTTGGAGGAGGGAAGTATGCTGCTGACTCAGGGAGCGGCATAGCGGTAGATAAGTCCGGTGTAGGTTCGGAAGGTGGGATGACTTGTGGTGAGTAGCCTTCATAACTGGCATATCCTCCATGTCCAACATATCCACCATGAGCACCATGCCCAGCATATCCTCCTTGATCGCTATGACCAGTATATCCTCCATATCCACCATGACCACCATACTCACCATGACCACCGTAGCCGTTTGGTGGTGATACTTCCGGTTCGGGGAAACTTGGCGGTGGCGGATGAGGCTCAACGCCATACGCTCCAGGTCCCGGTCCTGGTCTTAACGAAGGAGGGATGGGAGGGAACTCAACAGGCGGATGACTAGTCGCGCGCGGAGTTAAACTACTACCATCCTCTTGAGACATCGACGAAGGAATTCTTTGTCGTTCCTCAGGCATAGATACGCCAGGACGACCCGAAACATTACCTCCTGGGATATGTAGAGGCGGTAGAATAGAAGTTGGCATTTGTACACGCGTATGAGACGACCCACTCGTTGTTGAGGGTTCCATGTACAAGTCGTCCAACCCATCTCCATTGCCGTTTTCATTTGCTGATGCGGAGGGAGGTACGGATTCATCATCTCCCTCTCCCTCAGGTAGAGGGTACCCTGTATCCGTAGTGAGTTCATCCGCATCGACGTCGCTACTCTGCGACTGCGTAATCGAGCTCTCATCAAACGTCACACTACGCGTAGTGGCGCTTCCTGATGGGAGGCGTGGTGTAGGACGAGGACGAATAATCGGTATCGGACGTTGAGAAGCTCGAACTTGAGATGGCCGAATCGTAACTGAAGTGCCCGTGTCAGTAGCTGACCTCCCAGTCCGTCTCGACGATGCAGTCGTCTTAGACCCAACATCACTCCTCTCATCTTCATCCGAGTAAGAAGAATAATCATCCCCAATCCCAAGAAACGGCACCAACTCCCCAACCTCCCTCACCAACTCCCTCGTATTCTCCTCCCCAACAACCTCATACCACAAATCCGGTCCAAAATCCGCAAGCACAACTCCCAACCCACAACTCAAAACCGCCATAACACTCCCTTCAAACCCTCCATACATCTTATGATCAAATACCATCCCAGTGACGAGGATGACGAGAGTAAGTGGTTCGAGGAGTGCATTTGCAATCCATGCGCGGTGAATTAGAAACCCGTTTGAGAGGCCGACGAGGACGGCACCTAAGCCGGGATTTGAGTCTGCGAAGAGGATGTTGGCGAGGATACGCCCTGTTACGCCGAGGGCGATTGTCACCTCTGCACTCATCTATTTTAATGAGTCTGAGGGTCAACTGCGGGTCGTGCTATGCGTGTAGCAGGGAAAAGCATGGCACACGGAACGAACGATCAACGGTGTACAAACAATCACTATTTGCCTCCGTCAAGCAACACTCTGAACTCTCAAATGTTGTATAATTACAATATTCATATAATATTGTACATCTACTATACACAGTCCGGAAAAAAAAAGTAAAAAGTAAAATATAGGAGAAAAGTAAATATCGATCTATGTAGGGCGAGCCTCTCACATCGACTTCGCCTCTTTTTTCGCCTGTGCAACTTGTGCAAGCCGTTGACTCCTTAACGTCACATTCGCATTCTGCGCGCCCTTCTTGCTCGATCCGCTAGTAGTCCCTGCGGCAGGTGCTATGACAGACTGTGAGATCGATAGTCGAGTTTCGTCTGAAGCGAAGCCTGGGATACGGATGTTGTGGTTTCGTTCTGATATTCGTTCGCTTTGTTAGCAATAATTTGGAAGGTGCTGGGCGAAGGCTCACCAAGATGAAGTTGAAGATCCCGGACCTCCAAAGAGTCTCCTCCTCGGTGTTTTGCTAGTCGGCAGCCAAAGTTGGTCACAGAGTCGATGAACTCGTCTGCAATGTCTAGCAATAGCTGATAATGACAACGAACAAGGAGTCAGTTACAGTCGGGAATTCAGCATGAGGTGACGTACATCTTCAACGTCAGGCTCGACCTTGACATTCGGATCAATGCTAAAAACAAGGTCCTGTATAGACCGTCGCAAACTCTGATCATTCGGCGTATTCTTCCGTCTACTCGAAGTATCCGAACTCAACACACTCGAATCATCCGTTCGAGCAATTTGTGCGGGCGTTCCTGTATGGTATCTCCTTAGATATCTTTTCCCTCACAGAATGTATTCCACAATGGCAATCAGTACGCACCAGAAACCCGCCCACTCGCAAACCCCCCACTCATCGTCGGCCGTCCAGTAGCAGCAGGGAAAGGCTGCGGACCAGGGTTCGTAACGTTAAGCGTCGCACTAATCGGATACCCGTTTCCCGGTGTGGCCGTAAGCGTAGTAACAGTACCTGGTGCAGGTGAAGAAGTCTTAAAGGCGGCCGCTCCCGCAGGCGCCATCGGGTTCATCACAGGTGCCGTTTGTGTTAGTTGCGGTTGCATCGGCTGCTGTATCGGGTAGCGGAAGTAGCAGTAGGACATTGTTGGTTAGTTAGTTGGAACAAAGAGATGAAAACCACAAAGCAAGAGAGAAAGACACGCCTTTGTTGAAGATGTTGTGGCCGTTGCTGGGCCTGCTTGTGGTTGGGTGGCTGTGGTATCCTTAGGGGCCGTAGCAGGTGAGCCTGTATTCCCAGCAGCGAATTGCTTCAACTAAAAGGTACAACAAAAAGCAAAGAGAGAAGGGCTCAGCATTTAGCATTCAAATATCAATGTTCTGAGCCATCCAAAAGCACACAAAGAAATGACATAATAACATAAATAACACGCACCTGGTCGATCTGCGTCTGCGACAACCTTCCCTGTCTCGCCAACTCGCTAATCTGATCCATATTGGCAATGAGGAGCTGAGCGATTTTATCATGCTGGAGGCTCTCGCCCGTGGATGTTTTGAACGCGGACGAGAGGGCAGCTATGATGTTTGCTTTGGAGGTAGAGGAAGAGGAGGAAGAGGCATTGGGATTGGTACTAGTGTTTGTGGTTTGGAGAGAAGGTTGTGCTGACGCACTGGCTTGAGGTTGAGGTTGAGTTGGTTGTTGCGGTGCTTGTTGCGCCTGTTGAGGCGGCTGGGGCTGTTGTTGTTGCTGACCTTCGTTGTTGGTCGACATGTTTCGACACGCAACGGGTCAAATGGCAAGAGTGAGGATAACCACACACTATCACTTGTTGCGTGCGATGCTCTCTGCACGTGACTCAAAAGCAACAGACGCTTGTGCGAATTGAATTACTTTTATAAATTATAATTTATTTATTATAGTCTGGTCATGATGCTAGCGAGTGAAAGCAGCCGAGCAGACGTGTCTCTTACTTTGGCCTCCATCATCATTAAGAAATGGCGGGTCGCGTTCTGTTGACTGTTCTCGTCGGGTTCGCAGCCGTCCTGAGCGGCTTATACCGTCTCAGCATTAAACCCAAGCTTGAATTCTTCGGGGAGGGACGTGTTGTCCAGCCTGTTGGGAATACGAAATGCAAGAGTTATCCAGAGGCACAGGCATGCGAGAGTACGTTCATCCTACCCTATTTCGTTCACAACCCACTTGGATTTTGGTTAATTTCTTCGCCGTTTATTAGAAATCGTCGTACACCACCCAACAGGTCATGTCTACATGGCCTGTTCAACCTTCCAAAGCCGTCCTCACTGGCTCCCCGGAACAAACCGCCTCAACGCAACCGGCAAGTCCTCATCAGACTACGTAGCAGTCTTCGACCCCTCCACCTCCAAAATCACCCGTCTCCGCGCTGAGATGTATAAATACCCTCGTGGACTCAGCTTACACGGCATGGACGTCGTCTCCTCTAAGCAACACCCTTCTGAGTTGTTTATCTATTTGGTGAATCATCGAGAACCATTCGCACCTGCTGACGCGAACGAAGTCGGTGCGGACTCGGTTATCGAGGTGTTTAGTACGACTCCTGGATCGGATGAAATGCGGTTCGTTGCTACGTGGAAGGATCCTGTTATTGCTACGCCGAATGATATCGTTGCTACCGGGGATGATATGAGTTTCTATTTTACGAATGATCATGGGTCCATTAAAACTGGTTTGGTGCGTTTACTTTTACTTCTTTCCATTTAGATCCGTAGCATATACAGACGTTCTTACGACAAAACTTTTCGAATGCAAAATAGGCAAGAAGACTCAATATCGACGCCTTCCTCGGCCTAGGCTGGTCAAACGTAGCCTATTGCCACGCAACAGACGGCTGCAAAGTCGCTGCTGACAACCTCATCGGTGCGAACGGAATCACACGAGGCAAGGACGGCACGTACTACGTCGCGAGCTCTAAATCAGGACGCATATACGTACTTGAGCAACAAGCGGATAATAAACTCGTATTGACGGATGAGATTCCTGTCGGCAAGTTACTTCTCCATCCTACTCACTTTCGTTGAGTGAGGATTGACTAATGATATGTTTCATGAATGTATAGACCGCCCAGTCGACAACCTCTCCGTCGACCAAACCGGAGCCGTCTGGGGCGCAGGCCTAGTAAACACTCTCCACCTCGTCAACGTCCATTTCGAAAACCCCTCAATCAAGTCACCCTCCTCTGCACTCCGCATTACGCTCAACGAAGGGGATAGCAGTTACTTTGGTGAGAAATACAAAGTCGAAAAGGTTCGTTCGTATCTTTTCTCTGGCCTTCCTTTCTCTTCTTTCTCTTCTTTCTCTTCTTTTTTTTTATTCGATGATTGGCAACACACTGAAATTTCTTTTCTTTTCTCATAATTCAGGTTTTCGAAGATGATGGTGAGATTGCGTCTGGTTCTACATCAGTCGCTTACGACGCGAAGCGTAAGAAGTTGTACTTGCATGGTATGCGTCTCAGTCTTCGGGCCATTACATACCTTTTCCTTACTGACATTCAATGCACCCCTTCAGGACTCGCCGCACCGCATTTAACAGTTTGCGACATCTGAATCAAAAATCCGGCATTCTTGGAAGACACAGATAGATTTATTGCATTCGCATACAATTCATGTACATTATGTTATTACTATCCAACAAAAAGGCAACAATCAGAATTCGCTCCAATCTTGCGTTGATCCCTCGTCACAGTTTTGGGCGGGTTTCATCACTTACAGTTTTTTTCGACAAATGAGTCAAACACAAAAATTATATTGAAAAACAGACAATCCGGTAATAATCTACGGTAAATACACACTAAAATCCGCCTCTGGAATCACACAATTCAACTCCTTCTGAAGCTCTCTCCTTAACTGTCTTAAAACACTCAACGCCTCAACGAATTCAGGCTCCGTGAAAGGCGTGTAGAAGTCTGCCAGTCTCGAAATGAGGTGGTACGCTTCTAATACTAGCAAAATTGAATCAGGATTTTGCGATTGCTCCGATTTTGAATTTGGTGTTGCTTGTAGTTGTGCTTGTAATTGTGGTTGGACTTGGGTTTGAGTCCGAGCTTTACCTACAGCCTTTCGATTATTGCTGTTCGAGGCTTTGAATAAGGATTTGTTGGATTTGGGAGTGTGGTAGAGGAGTTTCTTCTTTTCGGAGAAGAAACTCCTGATTCGTTCTAGCTAAGAGAAAACGAAATTTAAGAAAAACGTTTATAGGTGAGCGAGCGGAGCTTCCGACTTACTCGCACTCTTTGCTCTGGAGTTATCACCTTCTGCACATTAACAGTTCCACTAAACCGCTTAATATCCTCACTAAAGATCTCAACAATATCATTCGGGAAGAGCATCACGCCATTTGAGGACCAAACGATACTATGTATCACCTGCACCATAATATTCCGAGGATCCATCGGACGTCCATCAGACAATGCAGAAGAAGGCCCACTCCATGTAGGGCGAGGAAGCTTAGGAAGAGCATGAAGCATACTCAAGAGTGTCTTTGCATTAGCAAACGCAGGACGAGTTTGAGCTAATGTTTGGAGGTACAGGTCGATTCGTGCGTAGATATTCCATGCGTCTATGAGTTTCTCGAGAAGCTCGAGCCATTGGCTGGCTGCTGCGGAGAGAGCTGTGAGTTTCGCTTCGTGAGAGTTGGTCACGGTGGTGGTGGCTGAGGCTGAGGCTGAGGCTCTTGCCTCAGCCTTGCACCATTCTTGGAAGTGTCTTTCACAGCATGTTGGTCCGTTTTCGGAGTCTGTGTCGGAGTCTTCTCCTTCCCCTGGACAGTGTTCGTAGAAACCGTTGTCAGACAGGAACTGCTTCATCTGAAAAGTAGAAACGGAATGTGAATTGCTCGTCATTTATATCTAGCACATAGGAAATTCGAGGTATAGTATACATACCTGTTGGATATCCTCTGGCGAGAATTCGTTATCCCCCTTGGCTATCTCAATCATCTCATCCAGGTTCCGAGCGAGGATACTAGCGACTTCTTCGTCCGATGCTTCGTCTTGAAGGAGCTCGGAGGCAGCTGCACGGATCATAGCTATTATGTCCCACGTTCGATTATTCGCTGGTTCGGCTACCGAAGAGTCTTGCTGACGCTGCTCCTGACATGTAGGTACAGGCATGATGGAGGAGTGCAGAGGGCCTGTGGTTGAAAAGCAGGCATTTTATTGAAAATTGCGTTTGGTGGCCGTGGTTGAAGCCTGAAGGTAGAGTTGTGTGGCCAAAGAATGATCGAATATACTCACGTGATATATAGTGCAGGCATTGATCTCGGAAGCAAATTCCGCGTAACGGTAGACGTCATAATACTTAGACATGGCGGAGGCTTTAGCACAGCACCGTAGGCATCCCAGACGGGCGAACCAAAACGGAGGCGGCCACAGGCACTACAAAAGTATTGATAATAGTAATACTTAGGATGGGTATTTGAGGCAAGGTTGTGTAAATTTGGAATTTCCAGACTTGCAGACCACGTGCCTTGTTCTTGGACCGCAAACACGTTGTCTGCACGCGTACCGCTTGTCTCAAACTTGACTTACACAGGTATGTAAAAGGTAGAACAAGCGGAAGTCTATATCGTACTGAGCAGAAATTAGATATGTCAGCAAAGTCAGGAGAATCCAAACCGCTGCCATTCGGCGACACAATGCATGACCTTGCTGTGCTCCGGGCATCCGATCTAGACCTGGCTGCATTCTTACCAGCTGCTTCTGACCAGGAAATGAAGGAGAAGCAGGATATGAGCGCCAACAATATTAGTACAAGTAATCCTAGCGCTGTATCCACAGGTGACTCAGAACGCGATCGATTAGTCGCAAAGTCTTTTGATTATGTTCGTGAAGGCAGGACGGCAATTAGAATGCTCCACCGTGGAGACGTAGACGTACAGGGCAACAGAGTAGACAAAGTGCGTAGTAGACTAGAGGAGATCCTGGACGGATTGGCTGGCGGGGACAACCGTTCGTAACTACGTACATAGTTATTTCGTCTTGCCTGCTCCTTGTTATCAAAGAGGCTGTCTTTTGTGTCGGTTCAAGACGTAAGACACGCTTGGCGAGTGATGAAAGAAGAAAAAGAACGAAAAATTGTGGCAAAAAATGTGATCCGCTTAGTGCGTGCTATGCTATAAGAGTTGTCCGGCACGAGGCAGTTCACTCCTTGCTCACGACTTTCACGACCTCCGTGTACGATTTGGATTAGATCCCCTACTCTCGACAGCCTCTACACCCTTTGAGCTCGTCCTGTCTTCGCAGACAGCGGCGACGACGATAATGGCTGCTGAAAATGCTATTCTTGTGGCACTCTTCGCTATCCGCCTTTCTTTCGTTGTCTTGTTGCTCGCCACATCTTTGTCTCTTCTCGCTGTTAAGCCTCAGCAAACACCCGGGTCATCTTCTCCTATCGTATCAGTTGTCGTCTCGGTGACTACACCGCGCCGTTCTCTTATCATTTCACTGGTGAGTTTCATATGACTTGCACAGCTTGTCGTTGCTAAGTACCATTACAGTGCTCACTCGTCGCGTTGACCTATTTCCTTGACGGTTTTGCATTGGTGCTTCATTCAGTATTGAGTAAAACTTGGCAAGGAACGCCGTCTCATGGATCATGGATTGCTCAATGGAGTGGATTGGAGGTCGAAACAATAGGTGGATTGCTAGCATCGGGCCTACTAGTCATACTTGGAGTCTGGAAAGAGACGAAAGGTGCTGCAGTATGGACGATGAAACGACCGAAGTTCTGGACTGCACTGGCTCTGGTCGGGACAATTGTTGAGGTCGTGCTGCTTGTCTTAACAGTGGAATTCCGCAGCAAATGTACGTATATCACCCTACTTTACCGAGTTATGCATTGATCTGACTTGAATATCTTATCCCAGCACGCATAGGTATTCCAGAGTCTCCCCGTTATCAGATTAATTTCCCAGCATTGCTGCACACATTGTTCCCGGTGTTCCGCCTTCTCGTTCTCATTCCACTATACGCGGCGTTGTCTTTCCCGCGTGTGAGGTATGTTCCATTATCCGAAGTTCATCAGACGAATGGAGGTGCGGTCAGTGTTACGGAAGAAAATTCGGCTCTACTCGCTCCGGCCGAGGAGGGCACACTAACTGGCCAGGGCCTTAATACGGGTACCCAAGGTCAATCGGCGTATGGTACCTTTGGGCCTTCTCGTTCGCTTGCACCGACTGCTACGGCAACGCCAAGGACACATACGCCTGCGCCTAGTGAAGCTCAGGATGTCCTTCAAGTGAGTGACATGTTCAAAGCCACATGCAGTTATATTGAGTCGTGTGACTTGCTTTTGAAGACTCTAAAGGCTCCTCCTTCTAAGGTCAAGGCCCAGACCGAAACGGCGAAGTTGGAAAACCCATCCTGGAGAGAGATGTATCGGCGAGTTAAGAGGCTGTCGCCATACCTTTGGCCCAAGAATAACGTCTGGCTTCAATTTCTTGCTGTAAACCAAATTTCTCTATTTTTTTATGAATGAATTACCACTTACCTTGGCTATTTATATTTTTTTCTACGTCATTCATTAGATGCTTTGCATGATTGTGCTTGCCATCGGACGCGTCGTTAATGTCGCCGTTCCACTCACTCTTGGAGGCCTTGTCGATCTACTTGAGAAGCAGTTTGGACTGGGACCGGGGACACCACCGCGACGTTCATTCTGGCCTTACCTTCTCGCGTATGTGGGCCTCCGCTTTTTGCAAGGAAGCGGTGGATTAGGTGCCCTACGTGATGTGCGTTACATGAAATGGTTTACTTATGCTCGAATGAACTAATTTCCTGTACTATAGACCTTATGGGCACCAGTTATGCAATATTCCGACAGAGGTGAGTTGGTAATGTGAGATATCTTGCCCTTTAGTTCTAAACACCATACATAGAGATGTCCCAGATGTCTTTCAACCATCTTCTTTCTCTTTCGCTCTCCTTCCATATGCGCCGCAAGACGGGTGAAATCCTTCGGATACTCGACCGAGGCGCCTCTATCAACCGCGTTTTCGAACTCATGCTCTTCAACATTCTCCCGACTTTCATTGATATTATCCTAGCACTGGGTGTTTTTGTCTGGGAGTTTGACTGGGAGCTTGCATTCGTAGTCGCATTCGTTATGGCCAGTTACGGTAAGCGGTATCGTTTCAATTGCCGACAAATTGTTGCTTACCTGCTTTATAGTTTCTGCGAGCATCGCACTCACTTCCTGGCGTACACGCATCAGGAGGCAGATGAATGACAAGGACATCGTACGCATTCATGAATAAAATGGTGACTTTAGGCTCATGTCATGTTAGATCACACGAGGCATACACACAGATTGTCTCTTGAACTATGAAACAGTTAAGTATTTCGGAGGAGAAGCCTTTGAGAACGAGCGTTACGCCAATGCAATCAAAGACTTTCAATCACTGGAGTACCGCGTGATTTGTACGTGCTATGCATCTCAGTGACATTAATATACTGAAACCCCATACAGTATCCCTCAACCTTCTCAATCTGATCCAGAACTTATTAATGGTACGCATCGGGTGCAATACAGAAGTAGTGCATGTGCTTATTTATTACCATGATCCCTATGCCATTTTCCCACAGACAATTGGGTTCTTGGTTGGAGGTATGATTGTAGCGCTCCGTGTGACCAATGGCCTTTCTTCTCCTAGCGAATTTGTTGTCTTTGTAATCTACCTTACGCAGGTGAGCCATAAAGCTTAATTCGCCAAATTTCTGGCCCATAATAGACCCTATTTTTGTCGCCAGCTATACGGTCCTCTCAATCAGCTGGGCTTCATATACAGGCAAATCAACACGAGTCTGGTTGACACTGAGCGTCTTTTGAAGCTCCTGGATGAGCCGACCGAAGTTAACGATAAACCTGGTGCCCCTGATTTGATCGTTGACAACGGAGAGATTGAATTCGGTAAGCACATGAAAGTTGCTCGATGGGAAGATCTCAGTCTTATTTTTATTGGATCAAGACAATGTGTCCTTCTCTTACGACGACCGGACCACCGCACTCAATGGAGTGTCTTTCAGGGTACCTAAGGGTGCTTCGGTCGCTCTCGTGGGCGAGTCTGGGTCTGGGAAATCGACTGTTCTCCGCCTCCTGTATCGCTTCTACGACCTGAAAGAGGGTCAGGGAAGGATTCTTATTGACGGACAGGACATCCGTGATGTCACTCAACTTTCGCTCCGTAAGGCTATTGGTGTTGTCCCACAAGATTCCGTCCTATTCAATGCAAGCATTGCGTACAACATTGGGTGAGGATGAGAATACTGCATACAAGGTCCGGCCCGCTAACTGTAACGTGTGTCAGGTACGGCAAGTTTGACGCGTCTCGTGAGGAGATCGAGGCTGCTGCAAAGGCCGCTCAAATGCACGACAGGATAATGACCTTCCCCGACGGGTATGATACGAAGGTCGGTGAACGCGGCGTTCGCCTGAGCGGAGGCGAGAAGCAGCGTGTGGCTATTGCTCGAACTCTTCTCAAGAATCCGCCAATCCTATTGCTTGACGAGGCGACGAGGTAAGATTAAGGTTCTCGGGATTGTGCTTTTCGCGAACACCCTTTGCCCGATAGACAACAACTGATGGGTTGTCGTCTTGTCCATATAGCGCGTTAGATACGTCAACAGAAAAGGACATCCAGAAGGCATTGCAAAACCTTGTTCAAGGCCGATCGTCCCTGTCCATAGCCCATCGCCTCTCGGTATGTGCACCCGAGTTCCTATATCCGCGCTATTTCTGAAGTTTATCACACATGACCATCTCCTAGACCATTGCATCGGCGGATGTGTACGTAAATCTCTCCGTCTCGTCTTCCTCTGGTTTAGTGTTTAATAAAGCTTATACTCATTCCTTCTTCCATCTTTTAGGATTCTGGTGCTCAAAAATGGACAGATCGTGGAACAAGGTAGTCATCGAGAATTGCTTGAGATGAGCGGCGTCTTCGCTACTATGTGGGCCGACCAAATTCGTGCTGAGGATCCGCAATTCGTAACTCTTGAGGGTAAAAAGGAGATCTCTGGGTACAATGTGGAGCAACCTGATAAAGGCACCGACGCAGAGGTACCGAAGTCTAGTGAACCTCAAGAAGATGTCGCTGGGTCCGCTGCGGTGTCTGAGGTTAACATTAAAGAAGCCACTGCTCCTTCCGCTATTGATGGTCAGGTGAAAGAAAAGCAGCCTAAGACGTTCGCTGCAGTCGCGGCCTCAGAGCCTGCTACAGATGCACCTGTTGTTCATAACCAATCCGAGCCTTCTACATCATCCGGTGCCCCTGTACAGTTCCCAAGTTCCGAGGCTCCTGTCGCATTCCCCAGCGGACCAGTCTCATTCCCATCGACGGGTGAGACTGAGGCGCAATCGGACTTGGCGACGTCCCCAGGTCCGACGGGAGTCACGTTTGATAACAGCGTCCGAGATTCACCACGGAGCGGGACGCCCGACCCGGCAGATCCTAAGAGGAAGCGAACTGCTTCTCAGAATTTCCAGCGCTTCGCCCGCAGAGTTTCGCTCGTAGGGCGGCGTCAGGGTTCAGTCCCAGCTGTCCAAGGATCACCGCTCAAGGATGATAAGAAGGGACGTGATTCAAGGGACGAAGGCAGCGAACGCGGTGATGGCAGTGGGAGTGTGCGCGGGGAAGGAGAAAGTCCTGCTGCGAGTGTTCAGGAGGGCAGGAAGATGCGGGATAAGCTCAAGAAGCGACTGTCGATGGGCAAGTCGTAGACGCCGAGTTTGACGGACACTTTGACTTGGATTCCATATCATGCTTGAATTCTAATATACAGTTTCGTTTACGACCGTGATGACCGTTTTTTTCTCTCCCTCTCATTTCTTCCAAATTTACTCACATCTCTTTTTTCATCTACGATTTCTGTCCTTTTTCCTGCTCTATCTGTATCTAGCTGAGACATGCATACCGTTGACTGTTTTCCCACTTGCAACGAATGGAGTTTTTTGATACGTCTTGCGGATGAGCCATAAACGGCAGCTGAACGCGGACCAATTGAATTTAAACTGAGTTTGCGCGTCGGAATGAGGGCGGAGAGCTACTTGCAGAGTGCGGGGGATAGGGCCTCGGCCTGTTTTGGAGCGCAGATCCGTTCTCGATTCGCACAGCATTCGAGTCCTATAAGAGTCGGTAAATCTTCTCACATCCTGTCTCCGTACCCTCTTTCTATCCCCCATCTTGCCCCGTCTCTCGCTGACTTCCAGTGCACCCATTCGTCCCCGTCGTCGTCCCCCGCAGATCAGTAGCATAGTCCACCATGACCGCCAAAGTTTACGTCGGGTCCGTGCTCTCGTCTGCTCAGGGGCAGTCCCTTGTGGAACCCCTCGACTGATACCTCGTTGCATGTATAGCAATTTGTCCTGGAATACAACCGATGATACTCTCCGTAAAGTCAGTCTGCTGTGCCTGTTCTCGTTTCCGTGACCGTATCGTGAATGTGATTTTTGTTTGCTTTCCCCCCGTGCTTCGGTGCTTGTGTGCTCGCGTTTGCTGCCTGCTCCTGCATTGCACGTATAGGCATTTTCCGACTATGGCCAGGTCGTTGATGTGCGCTCCGCTCGATCTTCTGCTTCTTTTTATTACTAAGATGTGTTCCTGTTCTGAAATTAACCCACTGGACATTGAATGCGCGTGTTTCGTAATACATGTGCGACGCGTCTTGCTATTGGCTTCGATGTATGCGCACCCCCGCTCCACTGCCGCATCGTCATCTCCGACGTATGTGCATATATGCATCAATTTTATTCCCTCAGTCTATTGTCATGCGCGACCGCGACACAGGCCGCTCTCGAGGCTTCGGGTTTGTGACATTTAGCAGTGAGACTGAGGCGACTGGCGCCATCAGTGCCCTCAACGAACAAGAGTTCGAGGGCAGGCGTATCAAGGTCAACTTCGCCAATGCGCGCCCTCAACCTAGTCAGTCTTCTGGTGAGCCGTTTTATACTGGTTGATGGGCTCTGGCATTTATCGCGTAGGCGGTGGTTACCCTGGAATGCAACAAGGAGGCTACAATTCTGGTGGCGGTAGTGAGCTCCCATCTTCGGTGTTTCAGTTTTCCCGGTGACTGATTTGTCTTCGTAGTGAGTGGCTATGGCGGTGGTTACGGTTAGACCCTTCCCTCTTGTCTTCTGAATTGCTCTTCGTCGTCTTAACTTCTTGTGCATTCGTTGTTAGGCGGTGGTGGATTTAACCCAGGTGCATAGCGGTGCTGTTTCGTCTGTCACGCGCATCTGACTGACTAGGAAACTTTTAAGGTCCCGGCTTTGGTGGAGGCTATGGTGGAGGAGGCTTCCCCCAGCAAGGATACGGAGGCTACCAGCAACAAGGCGGCGGTCCAGGCTACTAGGCCTCGCGGTGCGCAAATTATCTGTGGACTTCTGCATTTTCTAATGCATGTCCTGTAGCCCTTGGTTTTCTTGTTCGCGGCTCCGAATCCATATCTCTTTGTCTCTTGCTCGCAACCCCCTTCATCGGTGTCCGTAAAATATGTCGTTTCTATTTGTTTTAAGTCGTAACGCCTTATGCTTCCCATTCGTGTATATAAACATTATGTGAGGCTTCCGTCGCCCGTCGTCCCGTGGACAGCTCCGTTGATCTTGCATTGGGGCTACCCCGGTACTGCGTTTTTATCGATCCCTCCCTACTTTTCTTGTCTTTCCTCGCCTCGTCTGCCGCGCCTGTTATCTCTTTCTGTCCCGTCCCCTCATCATCTTCCTCTGGTCCGTTCGTCCAAAAAATGTAACTGTAACCGTACGATGCCTCGTTTACGTTCTCGTGTCCGTTCGTTTTCGTCTCATCTCGCACTGTTCTTCCGTGGTCGTTACACAAAGGTCTCTCTCCCGCACACACTCACTCCCCCAATGTATTCCATAGCGCGCGCGTCTAGGCATATCGAGTCATACTTCCAAAAGATTGATTGAATACACGTATCATGAACGTTTATCCGAGTGACTTGAATCATTTGATGATTTACTTTAAGAACGGAGTATTGTATACTGGTCAGCAGGGTAAAGTCTATAGAGATTTCCAAGCAAATCGGTGGTTTTTTCAAGTAATTGGGTGCGGGCAAGTCTATCAGCCTTTTTGGCGATTTAAGTCTAAGCGTTTTCCTGTGCACGTCTGGACCTACAAAACAAACGCTGGACCCACTCTGTCCCGTATCAATCAGCTGATTATCGATTATCGAAAACTTTTAAGCGTTGTCTGACTGAGGATGGGTTTATCAAATGTACTGCCGTGAATATTTCACCACTCACCAGACACCGAAGAATATACTTTTCTGAGACACGCCCAAAGGGGAAAGGAACTTTGAAGAACCGCAGGGACTAATATTATTATCTACAGTACCCGCACGCACAGATTACAAAATGTAACATTATCTCCAAGTAAGGTAATATAATCGACGAGATTATCACGTGCCATGAGATCATTTTCAATGCACTTGGGAAGCTGAAAGGCCAAGCGGATCAGAGAAGACGCTACAGTAAAGCTCATCTCTTACAATATGTCCAGAGGGACACCGGGTTTGCCTGACGGAAAGCCATCATCATCTTCATATGCACAACAAGCCCAGAATAACGGAAGTCTCTACTCCTTCTCTGTGCACCAACCGTATACAAATTGGCCTCTCCATGCTTCACACACTACACCTTACGCGCCGTCCTGGTATACACTTCCGACACAGCAGCAATATGGTGCACAGAAAACTTACTGCGAGCGTGAAGTGCAGACTCTTCGACCTGGAGAAGACGGGTTCTATGATGATGCGGTGAATGGGAAAGGAAAGGGGAGGGGAGCTGGTGAACCGGAGCAGAAGTTTGCGAAGCAGTGGGACGCTGCGCTCAGTGCGTTTTTGAAGCGAGCTGGGTTAGTTCAAGCACTTGCGGGACTAAGAGAAGATATGTTGATGCTGAACCAGGAGTGGGAGCGTGAGAGGATACCGGGTGCACTTCAGTCTTTTGTGGACGATATTTCGGTATGTGTATGGTTTATTTGAGATTACGCTTCTTTGGTTTTTATGATGCATCTTTTATGCCCATTCTCGTGTTTTTCTGTTTAGGAATGTATGAAAAACGTAGATCCTGCATTGCCGAAGAAAACCCTTGAAGAACGCAAACTAGAATATGTTCAAGTACAGGACGGCGTTGAAGCGCAGACACCTTCGTCGGTACGCTTTTATCTCTTTATCTTCTTCAAAGTGTCTCCAAAATAACACGCATACCTCCCAACTTCATTAGACGATAAGATCCATTTCGAACCTGCTCAGGCAATCTCGGAAGCGAAATGACGCATCAAATCGTACAGAGTTCCTACAATCCGTCGCAGAGAAGCGTCGTCGTCTTAACACATTAGGAGAATCCTCCTCCTCGGCTCCGGATAAAGACCCTAATAATATTCTTAGTCCCGAAGTCCAAGAAGGTGGTGTGAATGATAACATGGACGTTGACGTATCTCTTAGTTCTTGCGCTCGAGCGGACGCGAAAAGTCAAGATCGAGACTTCCAGATGAAGTATGATATTGCCAAGAATGAGGATGGACCCTTGAAGAGGACGATGAAGCGAGAGCAAGTTGATAACGACTCTTCCGGAGTTATTGTTTCTGCTACTCCGCAGTCTCGAATATCAATGGATCGCAATGGGCACGAACCTACCGCAGGGAAGCATCCGGAACTCGCGGGCCGCATGGAGACTATCGAGGATCACCTTGGTGTTCGTTTCGGTATGCTCTCATTATCCTTACGTTTTTACTTCGCTTCTTAACCTTCTGAACATGTTTGTTCCGATATGACATGAAGTCCCATCTCGTCCACGTTCGTTACAAGACCGTCTCAAGTTCTTAGAGGACTACGTCATTCGACTCGAGAAGGACTATCCGCCATGGGCGGCTCTGCATTTCAATCAGCCCAATCGCGGTGTACGTATCTACCTTCTCATATTCCACAGTCTCTATCTAATATTTCGTCTCGCTTTTCCTTTAAATATACGACCTAAATCAGTGGCCACCCCCTCCGCGCACCAATCCAATAATAATCCCAACGCATTTGGCAGCTCCAGACCCAGTTACTCGGTTAGATACTGCTTCCAGCCAGTCGTCAAATTTCGCAGCAATACAAGGCAGTCCATCTGTTATACCGATGGACATTTCACCCAGCACCACCATCATCTCTTCTGCGAAACCCGGGAACTCAAAAGCAAAGTCATCTTTACACCGAGCTGTTATGGAGAAACTTGAGATTCGTAGAGCAATAGGAGACTTGGCTGGTGTTGGTGGTAATGCAACGATGTCATCTGTCGGTGATGTTCATGGTGCTCAGCCAGGTTAAAAAATTTTGTGCGACATGATGGAAGGATGTGTTTGTGCGTAAGTTATGTATTATGTATTTGTTTGTTTTCATTTGGATTGTTTTTTGGAGTATGGTTGTATGAAATTGGGATTAATTCTTTGCATGTACAGCTCGAAACAGGTGAAGAAGAGCACTGCTGTCAAAGCCTCATTCTCTAATAATAACTAAAACATAATTAGTCAAGTATATGCAACTGGCTCAGACGAAAGCCAGAGGTGTTCTGGGTGCACAGACGTTCAGTGGAACTCGGGTAACTGCAGGCCATCCTACTCAAAGTAGTTCACAGTCGTTTCTCGCAGGACTTGTCTCCCCTTGGATTCCGAATAACTTGATTGATTAGTTAAAGATAATAAATAATCCAATAGCAGAAGGACACGTTGAACGATCTCGAAGAAATCTCTTGACTATGGTGGCTGCGAATTCACGCATAGAATTGCAAACTAATGGTTACACAAGTTGTAAATTAAAACAATCGATGATTATGTAAGAAGTATTGATGTGGCAAGTTGGAACTATACAGCAGTTACGCCATATTTGGTATGTATCACTCACGCATAATCATCGTCACTTTTGCTGACCATCGCCTGTCCACCGCAATTGACACGACCGTTAACGATGGGTACGTCGTCGTCGACAATTTGCTGTATTAATGCATATAACTGACCTTCTGCCACGTTCTTTTGCCCTTCCTTTGATTATTTGTTCCAGGTATCTCGCGCACTTCAAGACACAAGCGCTCTGCGACTGGTGCTCAGCGTGCCCACTACCGAAAGAAGAGAAAGTTCGAGCTCGGTCGTCAGCCTGCAAACACCAGGCTCGGTGCAAAGCGCATCCACACTGTGCGTACGCGTGGTGGAAACCAAAAATTCCGTGCCCTTCGTCTGGACTCTGGAAACTTTGCATGGGGTTCTGAGCATGTTACGAGGAAGACTAGGATTATTGGTGTTGTGCGTATTTCATTTCTGTTCTACTTCACTCGTCCTGCTCTGTACAGCTCCCTTGGTGTGGTGGACTTGAGGAAAGAGTACTGATGATGCGGATTTGATCAGGTGTACAATGCCTCAAACAACGAACTCGTCCGTACAAACACGCTTGTGAAGGGTGCTATCATCCAGGTCGATGCAACTCCTTTCAGGCAGTGGTACGAATCGCACGTACGTTGCATCTCCTTGCGCGTTTCATCAAACGAGCTAAAATGACATGGTTCCTTTAGTACGCTGTTCCCATCTCCGCCAAGCTCGCAGCAAAGAGCGCACAGGCAACTGAAGGCGCAGAAGAGAAAAAGCAATCGAACCATGTCAAACGCATCCTTGAGGAGAGGAAGAAGGGTCAGCATTTATCAACATTCGAGCTACCATAAACTTTGAGTAATAACAATATGCTCCTTAGATGCTAAAATCGACCCGGCGCTCGCAGCCCAATTCGGTGCAGGTCGTCTATACGCTTCCATTTCCAGCCGACCGGGTCAGTCTGGTCGTGCAGATGGTTACATTCTTGAAGGAAAGGAGCTTGAGGTACGTTCTTTATGACGCTCATCGTAATTACCTTCCCTATACTCACCTGTCTATTCCTATATATAGTTCTACATTCGTAAACTTCGTACGGGCAAGCAGAAGCACGCACACGCAGCATAAGCATAATTGTCCAACATACATATGCGACCTTTCCTACCTATCTTTCTTCCCGTTGGGAGTTATGTACTGCTGCAATTCACCGAGATATGCTTCCTGATGCGCTGTGTTCTGAATATGTTATGTAGTCCGAACATGCCTTTTTCAATTTAACTCGCGCTCACTTAAGAAGCACTCACTATTTCCCTTGTGCACCGTGTACGAACAAACTGCAAGAGGCGTGATTTTGGGGAAACGAGATGGAGAATCTCTAGATGTATCATTGATTGATCGGGAGAAGTGACTACGGCTCAAGCATGATCATCGCAAACCTAGTCCGTAAAAGGAAGAAATAACTCAGACAATTCAAGGCGTGAACTTGGCTGGCTTTCATGCCGTCTAGCATCATGCCAATGTTTCGAATGAAGGGATGCGTGTCTTGATTGGTTCCTTTGTCAATATGTGGTAGACTTTGGACTATGTTCTACTCCTATACTTTTGAGCTTTGACATCATTTGAATATCGGATTCAAACAAGACCCGCCATCCTTTATTCCCCTTCCCCTTCACTGAACATCACGCCACAGAATGTATATCACTGACATAAATGTCCCAGGCGAAGCCTTGCATTGAGTGCTGAAGGCCTTGCTAACTGCTCGATCTTCACATACACTGCAGCCACCGTATATGTATATCAGCCTCCCGTTGTGTTTATTTATTTAGCTAGTTTATCCCTTTTTCATACCTATTCCAAGTGTCTGTACCCTATTCTCTGGCAGCCTTGTCTTAGCTGGGTTCGAACAGCTTTCCGGACTCCAAAACGCATATCATGAACAAGTTGTTACTGTCAAGAGAAGCTCGGCCTAGATTACATATTCAGAAAGGGTAAAATCAATTTCGAAGAGCCCAGGGTTTTTTTTCGGATCGGAGTACGAGACGAGAAAGCGGCTCCGAGTCGGTTCATATTTCCCTAAAATTCTAGTTGGTTCGTCATGTAAATTTGTCTCCTGCGTATCATACTTAATATAGAGTAGATTCAGTCCGTATTGATTACAAATGTGTGTGGCAATCAGGGGAAACTAGTGCAAGTGTCAGCTAAAATAGCATACTAAATTTGACGTCTGGAATGTAATAGGGAGATGGTCAGATCCTCATTCAAGCACTCGAGATATCGAATTGAGGACAGCCACGTACTTAGCTTCGAGGCCGGATTGCTAGCATATCGGTACGATGGTATGGAACAGAGAAAAGGCTACTAGTACCAGTGCTTACTAGAAGACTCTCTGGTCCCTCGTGCGTGAAGCTCTGAGCAAGCAATTATACTAAGTATCAGGATCTGGCGGACGAAGATTTAAAAGGGAGATTCATATTACCAGTATAAATACTAGACCAAAATCCGACAGCAGATTACGATACGATGGAACATCATGCATAGACATGGACTAATGTGCTCGAGAGTTTATTGCTTCAGTAAGAGGGTGTTCGGATACATGATCTTGCGTGATCAAACAAGATCATTCCTTCCGAAAGGAGAAGGAGATGATCTTGTGTGATCATGATCTACATTTGAGATGGAGGTGGGTGTTCGGCCACCTCTATCTACATTCTTGATCTTGTTCTGTGATCACGACGTGCCTGCCAAAAACGAGATACGGCTCTGAGCCGTATCTCATTTTGAGATCACGCGCTCCAAAGATGAGACCACATATACCACATCAACAGTACCTCTTGTCTCACCCTCACTTGTCCACCCCAGTCATCCTCTACACATCTCTGAAGATGTCTATTTGCTCTCTACACAACACACTAGTGATCAGCAAGTGTTCTCATGCCAGAAGACACTGCTTCCTGGACAGCTGATCAAGAGGCCCTTCTGATTCAGACACTGAAGAAGGCAAAGGACGATGGCCTCCAGGCTGAGAGTGGTTGGAAGCCTGTCGTCTGGTCTTTAGCTGTTGAGGCCCTTGCTGGTACAGAGAGTGAGAGTGGCAGGGTTAGGAAGGAGGTGAAGCATGTTAGGTCTTGGTTTCACAGAGTATGTCTTTACAAGTTGAGCTTATTGACATATGATTTCTCATACGATCTCTACAGCTCAAAAGTGCATACCAGGAGGTGAAGAAGATTAGGGAGTCATCTGGCTTTGGTTGGGACCCAGTCCAGCATTTGGCAACTGCTCCAGCAAATGTATGGGAGACGTATTTTGTGGTACACTAACTTCTCAGTCTTATCTTCTTCCTTCTTCACTAATATTCGTTCCTAGTCACACAAAAATGCTAAGCCATGGCACAAGAAGAGCTTTCCTCTTTATGAGGAAATGGCAGAGCTTGTAGAAGGGATTGTAGCTGATGGAAGGGGTGCATTCTGGCCTAGCCAGAATACACAGACTTCGGGCACACCTAGTCTACAGGCTGCCAGCTCTAGTTCTCTTGCAAGCAACAAGACTTCTTCTGTCTCAGCTGTGCCAAAGAGTTTGGAAGATATCTCTGACTTTGAGTCAGACACTGGTGGAGACAACACTCAGTACACTGAGACTCTCCCTATGGTGAGTCCCTTTCACACTTAGCCTACACATTACAGACTATATTAACATGCTTTCTAGACTTCCAGTACTGCTTCTAAGCGTGCAGTATCCTTAGAGCCAGAGGTTACAGCTATAAAGAAGAGGCCTCAAACTTCAGGAGCCAATGCAATAATAAGCCTCAGCGAGTCAATTGAAACAGTAGCGGACACAGTCACTTTTGCTTCTTCTACAAGGAATGCAACAGCCCAGACACCTACCAAAACAACTTCCTGGATTCCAGAGACATCTCTACAACGTAGGACAGCTGCTATTCGAGCAATTGAGGTGGATGAGGAATTGTCTGACAATGATATGGTAGATGTAGCAGAAATGATACGTGAGCACACTAGTATTGCTGATACTTATCTTGCTTTGCAAAATAAGGATCACTGTACTACTTATTTGCAGAAATCCCTTGCTAGGTACAAAGGCATGTAAATTAGTTTTATTTTGTAATATCTCGACTACTTTCCCTCTGAATTCAATATGTCGATCCGTTCATGAAGATGCAGATCACAGAAAACCTTCGATATGTTCCCTAGACCAGCAGCATTCATCAACAAGATTAACCAGGAAACGCGCTCTTTACTCCATAGTCCTCAGTTCCAGGAACACCGAACAAGAAAATCCGGTTACTCGGTACGTAAAGTGAGAACGAATCGCGTCCCAGGAAGGGATTCACAAACAGTGCCGGTCTATCTGTGCGTTTTCCTACAAACGGCCGCACAATCGCAACTGCATTCCTACGCAGCCCAGAAAACCACCAGTGCTCTTCGTAATGTATTGGAGTAGAGCACCGGCAACCTCTTCGTGACTTGCAAAAACCACCCAAACCGTCGTTCAAAGCCTTGTCCAACCGCGTTTTCTTGCAATGTCCACATCTTAACAGGCGTAGGCTTGTCATTCAATACATAACGCTCAATACAACAGTAGTATACATCAGTTCGAAGAGACTGCACATGAAACGCTCAATAGATAACTGTTGCACCTCTCCAAGATGCCTCTCGCATTGCACCATCACAATCCTCTGGTCAACTACGTGAGCGAGAACACAATATGACACTGCCTTCTCCTTCTGCTGTGGCACATCCTCATTCACATTCGTTTCTACCCTTTCATTCCTGTCACTTGCAAATCGTTCTCACTCGCATGTTATGTTCCTTCACTCTTCTCCCCTCCTTCAGCGTTCTCGCTTATACCCTTTCCACATGTCCTCTGCAATTCGATCATGTAGGTTCTCTGCTGCAGCTCGTTGTGCAGCTCCTCCTGTAGCTCATTGTATGCTAGTCTCAGACCCTATATCCTCGTCACTTTCTTCCCACTCATGCACCTCTGCAGGATCATAAATACGTATGATGTTGTGGACTACACATAGGGCTTGCACCAGAGCTGCTTGAGTTTCGATAGAGTACTCTGGTGCAGTAGCAAAAATTCAAAACCGTGCTTTGAAAACACCAAATATTCTTTCCACAACATTCCTGGCTGTAGCATGACACAGATTAAACAGTTCCTTTGCATCTAAGGGTCTATAAATTTAAATTTAAATGTATTGAAGGTTTCATGAGTTAGATAAATACATACCTATTCTTTGCAGCAGCCCATTCTCTCAAATGATAATGTACTCCTCTGTATGGCACAAGTACTGATGTACTGACTGGAAAGCCAGCATCACCAAGATAATACTTGCTATCTGGAACTAGGAAGCCTTGTTGCCTAGCACTGTCCAAGACTGTACTATCAGATGCACTTCCCTCCCATCCACTAAGAACATACAGAAACTTCATGTCAAATGATACAACAGCCAGAACATTCTGAGATATAAATCCCTTCCTGTTCCTGTATCTAGGCTGTTGATCAGAAAGGACAGAAGCATATATGTGGGTTCCATCAAGGGCTCCAAGACAGTCCTTGAAATAAGGGTACCATTTTGGGTTTGTTTGTATTTCCACAGGAGTAGGAGCTCCCTCTCTAGGAAGCTTGATAAATGTATAGTATATGCTGGGTGAATTCAACATATTAATGATCCTGTGGAAACACCTATAATAAAAAGTATGAATAAGTGTAAATAGACTGACTTAAATTACTTACTTGGAAACTGTATCTGCACTTCTTTGAAACCTTTCCTGAACCCTTCTGTTTGTGTTCCCAGTAGCAGCCATGTACAGAAAGATAGCCAACTGCTCATCAGTTTTCATATATCTTGTTTCACAAAGTCCACCCTTCTTCTCCAATATATCCAGAAGCTTGTTAAAAACATGCTTCCTCATTCCAAATGCTCTCTGGAAGCATGCTGAGTGACCATTTCAAAGTTCTGCTACCCATTCAGCACCAGAAAGTTTGGACTCATTAAGAGGCTCCTTCACATAATAATGAGCAAGAGATTGTACAGCTTTAGCAGCAGCAAGACAGCATAGTAGAGCAACAGTATTAACCAAATCCTGGTGGTCAGAGAAAGTACTCATAGTAGTGGACAACAGTACAGGAGGGATGTCTTAGAAAATGTACAGAAATTCAATTAAAATATTCATTTTATTTGGAATTTACACCGGAGCATACATTGAGATCATACGACCGTTCGGTACACCCCATGATCTTGTGAAATCATACAGTTGACCTGTTCGGCACACTCCATCATTTTTCGATATTATGATCTGCACACTTTGCAGATCATGATTCAGGGAAATCATGTCCCCGCGCGATCTTGTATCCGAACACCCTCTAAGTTACCAGCAGCTGATTCGATGTACGGACTGATCCGTGATCGGGAGAATATTCTAAAATGAAGCTCTACCAGTGGGTACGGTTCCTCACGTGAGACGGCGTCTCCTCCGCCCCCGATGAGAGTGTCCTTTATGCACCCGCGTCTACTCCCCTTGCACCCATAGCAGATGCCCTTTACAGCTCGATCTACTGACGGTAGTAACAGCGTTCATAATGGTGTGGACCCCAGTATTGCGACGCTCCTATTATCAAGCACGATCTACACGACATATTTCGAAACTTTGATTCTGACGCTGTTGGTGTATGATTTTGGTACGCAACGTTTGATGAAGTTCCTGCAGTCTCTGACAACAAAGATGAAGCTTTGACAATTAACAAAGAGGTATTCCTGTGCCCTTTCCGGAGACTGAAGTCATCGTTAACGGCTCCATGGGCCCTTTCTCTAGGTCCGATACTTCTGGGTACGAGCGTAACTTTCCACAATCTCTTCAGTCGATGTGCTTTGACATTAGTTACGGGATGGATTTTTAGAGGACTCCGCAGAGTCTTATCAATATCGCCTTCTTTACGGTATGCCATTGTGCTATTGCGCTTGAGCATATCATTGACCGAAGTTTTAGAACCGCTATGTGGGCTTAGTTTCCCCTATTACCATATTATACTGTTCGTTATTTCCACCCTGTCATTGAGCTAAGTTTGAAATGACGCTAACAATACCCTGAAGGGACAACGCACTCGGCAAATCATGCTTCGTATGTGCACAAGTAAAATTAAGGACGTTCATTAAATTAATTCGATTCATATACGATAATATGTACAGCTGTAAGTTTCGCTAACTTCTTGATACATTGCATGTAATTGACGCTCCTTAGGTGTCGTAACCGCCTGGTTGAGAGGTTTTTCCGGTGAGTCCTATGTTACCCGATACTTTGCATGTATCTTGTTCACGAAGGACACTCTGCTAGACATGACTGTCCGAGTCGTAATTGACTGTAAGCTGCTGCTGTTCGAGCCGGAATACTCTGTACAGAATACCGTTAACGACGTACAGACATTCTTCTGCATAGAGTCCTCGCCCTTCACTCCTACGGTGAGTTTCAAGGGCTCGGCATTGTGTGACTTACTCTAACCAAGCTTATAATATAGAACGAAGAATATCTGTTGCACTCAAAGCATTGTTCGTGATGGCGGAGGCATTTCGGCTCGGATCGTTGATCTACGTCGTTCACGCTTTTCAAGGTGCGTGAAATATATCAGTCGCATATGCGTTTTTCTGCAGATTTAGTAAATCTTTTGCCACTAGTCACCGATATTCGCTTGTCGGACGATATAGTTTTATGTACAGTATCGAAGACCTTGTCTTTGGGGGTGGTATTAGTAGACTGGTACGCAGTCCAACCTTTTCCATGCCTAAATGAATGGTTTTGATTGACTTTCTCACCAAGGATTCCGCCATTGGTGTATGATCTCCTTATAATGGGTTTAACACTCGTTCGAGCTGCCGAATTTTGGCATCTGTCCACCGGTTTCAGAGGCTTCACACTGGTCAAGATCATCGTGTTTGATCAATTTATTTATTTCAGCCTGTAAGTCAAGGCTATCTTCTATTTCTTCGTACAAGGGAGTTAAATTTGCTAACCGACTGCTAAAAATCTTGAAAATACAATCAAACTAGGGTCATCGCATGCTGCGTGTTCAACGTGCTCCAACTCATCATCCACGACATCAACGTTGTACCCCAAACTGTTATAGCCGCTCTCGGAAGCACGTCATTTCTATGTGTCTTAGGCAATCGAATGCTATTCGACTTGAAAGAGGCGGCACAGAGTGGTCACAACGGAGGGACTAGCTATCGATTAACTCGGACTAGCTCCGAGGTTATGGATTTGCGGTTCACTTGAGGTTTTTTTATGGCGTTATGTTATGTATATGGCTTGTTTGTCTTTCCCGTTTTAGGTTTTCCTCTTAACTTTCTTTCTACGTAGACAGGTCGAATGTGTGATATTTGTAATTTTTACAGCAATGCAGCTTCTGACACCAGTTTACTATAATATTATCACGATGCTTTACGGAGTTACTGCTGCTTGCATAATTCCTTAGAACGGTAAGATCACGTGATTTTTCGTCACAAAGTTGAAAAACACAAAGAAAATACAATATCTCACTCAATCCTTAACATAAATGTGTACTATTAGTACCTAAATTCATACTTTCAAAATCCCCTTCAGATAGATACTTTATTAATCAAATTTGAGTAAGAATTGACTAAGATATG